CCTGTGATGGGGAGAGAGGGCGGGGGCTGGTGCAGAGCGGGGGGGGGGCGCGGGCGGGGCGGGACGAGGCTCCGCCCCCCCCCGGCAGCCGCATTCGCCGCCGCCGCAGCGCACGGAGGTGAACGGGGAGCGGGGACGGGGAGCGGGGACGGGGGGGGCCCGGGCACAAAGGGCCGGGGGGCCCCGCGCACCTGGCCGCGGGAAGGGGGGGCACATCTGGCTGCAGAGTCGGGGGGAGAGGGGGCACATCTGGCTCAGGGCAGAGCCCGGGGGGGCACATCTGGCCCGGGAGAGACACATGGAGGTTGGGAGGGGCCCATCTGGCTGCGAGCAGCCCCCTCCCCACGGGGCTGGGCCGCACATCTGGCCCTGGGTGGGCCCGTAAAGGGGCTGAGCGGCACATCTGCCCTCGAGCCCCCCCCGTGATGGAGGCGGGCTGCACATCTGGCTACGAGCAGCCCCTCCCTGGAGGAGCCGGGCTGCACATCTGGCCCTGGGCAGCTGCCGTGGGTGCAGGGATGAGGATGGGGATGAGGATGGGGATGAGGATGGGGATGGGGATGAGGATGAGGATGAGGATGGGGATGGGCGGTTGCTGCCTCCCTTCCGGAGCAGCCCCCGCAGGGCCACCGAGCTCCGTCCCCAGTGCGGCAGCCGCAGAGCCCTGGGGTCCCCGGGGCCGCGGCCCGGGGTGGGTGTCACTGTGGCGCCCACCGGCTGACGTCCTGGCTGTGGCCGCTCCCACAAACCAGGAGCCGCCGGCGCCGCCATCCCGGAGCCTCCGGAGCCTCCACGGCAGAGGCTTCAAGGGCGTTTTCTCCTTGAGAYGCTCCTAGCTGCCAGGTGCCGCAGAGCAGGGCGCGGGGAGCAGGAATTTGGGATTTCTGCCTGCTGGGCACAGGGTTGGCGCGTGGCAGCTGCGCCGGGAGCAGCAGCATCCTCAGGCTCTCCTTTCTGTCCTCTCCAGGCTGGAGCCCGGTCCYGTTTTGCTGCCAGCTGGCACCGAGYGGGCTGGGGGCTTGYGGCAAGCAGGCACCATGCTGGCCCCCACGAAGGGGCTGCTCTGCAACCTCAACCACATCCACCTGCAGCACATCTCGCTGGGGCTGCACCTCTCGCGGCACCCCGAGCTGCAGGAGAGCCCGGGCGGCCCCGCGGGCTGCGGCGCCTGTGGAGACAGCGGCGGCGGCAGCCTCGACGCCAACTCCAACAGCCCCTGCACCAAGTGCCGCTGCTGCGAGGCCCACGGGCTGCGCAACCGGCCGCCGCAGGAGCCGCTGCCCTGCCTGCCGGCCACGGGTGACGCGGCTTCGCCCTGCGACCCGCCATCCACCTCCTCCTCCGTGAGCAGCTGCTCTGATTTCAGCCTGGATGAGTCCCCAGTCTCGGTGTACTGCAGGGCGCCGGTGTCRGAAGAGCCCCGCTTCCTGGCGAGCCAGCCTGGCGCGGCGCCCGCTGAGGAGGCCCCGCTGCTGGCAGGGCAGGGGGACCCCTGCGGCGAGGGGGACCCGGCCGTGGCGGCCGTGGTGGCTCCCAGAGCAGCCACGCCGCCCGTGGAGCCCCCCGACAGCCTCTGCAGCAGCAGCAGCAGCAGCAGCAGTGGCGGCAGCTCCCTGGATTCCTGCTCCGAGAAGCCCCATCCGGCCCCGGAGCCTCCCAGCGGCACCGCGCCAGACCCCAATTGCAACACGGTGCCCGCGCGCTGGGACCACAACCGCAACGTCCCCCCGCCCGTGCCGCCCCGGCCGCGGCGGGCGCTGCGGGAGCCGCGCGGTGACGCCGCCAAGACCATCACCTCCTTCCACGAGCTGGCACAGAAGCGCAAGCGCCCGGCGGCCCCGGTCCCGGCGCCGGCCCGGGGCGACCGCAGTGACTGGCTCATCGTCTTCTCKCCCGACACGGAGCTGCCGCCGCCCGGGCGCTTGGCGCCCGTTACCGGGAGCCCCGCCGGGCCCCAGGCGCCGGCAAGGCCTCCGGCCCGCGGGCCGCGCGAGGTGACCACGTTCAAGGAGCTGCGTTACCGCAGCGCCGGTGGCGGCAAACACCGCGGCGCGGCGGCCACCGAGGAGCCGCCGCCGCCGCCGCCG